CACAAATGAAACAGCTAACAGGCTAACTAACCAGGTCATACATGAAGCAGCTAACAAGCTAACTAACCAGGTCACAAATGAAGCAGCTAACAGGCTAACTAACCAGGTCATACATGAAGCAGCTAACAAGCTAACTAACCAGGTCACAAATGAAGCAGCTAACAAGCTAACTAACCAGGTCGTACATGAAGCAGCTAACAGGCTAACTAACCAGATCACAAATGAAGCAGCTAACAAGCTAACTAACCAGGTCATACATGAAGCAGCTAACAAGCTAACTAACCAGGTCACACATGAAACAGCTAACAGGCTAACTAACCAGGTCACACATGAAGCAGCTAACAGGCTAACTAACCAGGTCACACATGAAGCAGCTAACAGGCTAACTAACCAGGTCACACATGAAGCAGCTAACAGGCTAACTAACCAGGTCATACATGAAACAGCTAACAGGCTAACTAACCAGGTCACACATGTTCATTAAAACAGACTTTTTTTTCTTTCTGCTCTTCAGGGCTGTTTGGGTTTCAGTGAGTCTGTGAAACACATCTTTGGTTTGTCCTCTCACAGAGAAGAGTGAGGTCATCACTTCAGGGTTTGCAGAGGGAACTCCCTGAGCGAGGCCTCGGCCCCACCCAGCCCACAGACACATGCAGCGCCTCCAGAGCAGCACACGTGAGGAACACGGCTCGGCCCGTGTCACACAGAATTACCCAAACATCTGCGTCCGGACGCAGAGAGCTGGAAGCCCTCGGGGCACAGGCAGATGAAGCTTCCCTCCGTGTTGGAGCACGTTCCTAACGTACAGATCTCAGGCAGCTGGGAGCACTCGTCGATATCTGACAGACAAACAGACAGAACAGAGTCAGCATTTACCCTGATCTTTTGTTTGGAACTACATCACTGCAAAAACTGTATTATAATGCTGAGTCAGCATTTACCCTGATCTTTTGTTTGGAACTACATCACTGCAAAAACNTTTTGTTTGGAACTACATCACTGCAAAAACTGTATTATAATGCTGAGTCAGCATTTACCCTGATCTTTTGTTTGGAACTACATCACTGCAAAAACGTTTTTGCAAAGATGTTTACACTTTTAAATATTTCAATTTATTTACAAATATTTCCATAGAAATATATTTAAATTCCTTTAAAGACTTTGTTCTGTTTAAAACGTGCTTCAGCTGCAGTCCTGTTAGCTCACAGTCTTTCACAGCTTTCAGCTAGCGCTTTGCTTTCTTTAGCTGTACCTTCGCAGGTCTCCTCATGCAGGTAGTAACCAGGGGGGCAGATGCACCTGTAGGTCCCGTCCATGTTCAGACAGGTGCCTGCTCCACAGGTGCCAGGGTTCACCGCACATTCGTTTATATCTGAGGGGCAGAGAGAGGAACATGATGGGATGAAGGACTAGGATTTGTTTCTAGAAGTCTTCCTCAGAGGTGAACCCTCACCTGTGCAGATCCGACCGTCCGGCGCCAGCTCGTAACCGTCGTTGCACACACACAGGAAGCTGCCCACCAGGTTTACACACTTCCCGTTCCGACACAAGCCCCTCTGAGTGGAACACTCGTCCACATCTGAAGGAAACGAGATGAATGAATGAGATCATTGATCTGTATYACTGGACATCACCTATAGCTGCTACAGCTAACGACGCGCCRTCACAGGAGCMATTACTCTGCATTCAGTCATGTCAACAAAACAGAGTTTCAATGCAGGATGWGYGTCAATCTGTCACAAAAATMTTCACAGCACCCTCATTTCTTATCTGATTTMTATAAAATATGGCTTCAATTAAAGCTGAGAAAATTGTCGATGTTGTTAAATGTAAAAATATGTATTTGTTCAAGAGATAAATCTATAAACAATCTGCTAACGTATTTACAGTAGAAGCCCCTTTCCATCACATAAAACTAAGAGTCATATATATATAATACTAATTTTGCATTTGTTTCCTGGTTTTCATTCGCACTGAAGTGACTAAAGACAAATTCCTCCAGCTGATAAGACAAATATGGTCGTCCCGTCCACCACTTAGCTTGTGAAATGTATGGTGGAGGAAATAAAAGTTACAAAGTTTTTTTACTCTGATATATAATCAGAAAGTACAGGATGCTGAGTGGACAGAACATCAGTACCAGTAACATCTACACAGTTCAGCCTAGTAGTAGTAAATGTAATTTTACTGTTGTCCATTATATTTACCTCTCACAATGTTATCCTAACAGAATAACAATATTAATAAAAATATATAATAATTTGTTGGAAAAGCAAATTTGTCTTAATGTGACAGAAAGGGGTTTTTACTGTAAATATGTTAGCATAAACCTATAATGAAAAGTTCCCAGACTGCTTATAGATTTATCTCTTGAACAAATACATATTTTTACATTTAACAACATCGACAATTTTCTCAGCTTTAATTGAAGCCATATTTTATAGAAATCAGATAAGAAATGAGGGTGCTGTGAAGATTTTTGTGACAGATTGACACATCCTGCATTGAAACTCTGTTTTGTTGACATGACTCAATGCAGAGCAATGGCTCCTGTGACGGCGCGTCGTTAGCTGTAGCAGCTATAGGTGATGTCCAGTCCAGTGATATAGATCAATTAATGCACCTGCCTCTGACCTGTGACCTCTGACCTGTGATCTCTGACCTCATACCTGTGACCTCTGACCTGTGATCTCTGACCTCATACCTGTGACCTCTGACCTGTGATCTCTGACTTGTGACTTGTGATCTCTGACCTCTGACCTCTGACCTGTGATCTCTGACCTGTGATCTCTGACCTGTGACCTGTGATCTGTGACCTCAGACCTGTGACCTCTGACCTGTGACCTCAGACCTGTGACCTGTGACCTCTGACCTGTGATCTCTGACCTGTGACCTGTGATCTCTGACCTGTGACCTCTGACCTGTGACCTCTGGCCTCTGACCTGTGACCTCAGACCTGCGACCTGTGACCTCTGACCTCTGACCTGTGACCTCAGACCTGCGACCTCTGACCTGTGACCTCTGACCTGTGATCTCTGACCTGTGACTTGTGATCTCTGACCTCTGACCTGTGACCTCTGACCTGTGATCTCTGACCTGTGACTTGTGATCTCTGACCTCTGACCTGTGACCTGTTACCTCAGACCTGTTACCTCAGACCTGTTACCTCTGACCTGTGACCTCTGACCTGTGACCTCTGACCTGTGACCTCTGACCTGTGACCTCTGACCTGTGACCTCTGACCGTACCTATGCAGTCTCCGTTGTGGGAGTTGTGGAAGCCGGGGTAGCACAGACAGTTGTAGGAGCCCACCGTGTTCTTGCAGGTCCCGTTACCGCAGGGCTGCCGCTCGCACTCGTCCACGTCTGAAACCACAGAGCAGAGCCTCGAGTTCAGCTCAGACCGGACCCGGGTCCAGAACACAAACTCTCAGGGACTTACCGACACACATGGACTGGTCCCGGGTGGTCTTGTATCCGTTGGGGCAGAGGCAGCGGTAGCTTCCCACCGTGTCGATGCACTGACCTGGGTTACAGACCCCCGGGTTCTCCAGGCACTCGTTACGATCTGAGGACCACACAGAACCAGCAGACCTGGGTCAGTTGGACTTCACTGCAGTTTGATTTAGAGTTCTGATCCAAACATTCAGGAGAAAGTTGTTTCTAAGGGAGTCCTGGGTCTGACCCGGGGTCTCCTCCAAGGCATCCGAATCTGAAGCCTGACCCACTTTAGCTGACCCCTTCAATGAGGACCAGCACTTCCAGACCAGACTGACCCCCAACCTGGAGGAACCATTCAAACCTAACTGCACCTTCAAACCCTGATCCTGAACTCCACACACAGGATCAGAGACCCAGGACAGCCCTGGAGGAGTCCAGCACTGGGGACCAGAACTTAACGCCAAGGCTGGTTTGTGAGGACCTGGGTCGACCTGCTCTCCTCTGGACTCTGGTTTGTTGTTGGACCTCAGGAAACACAACAGGATGTTGATGGTCCCCTCTGCGGACGGACTCAACACTTCCTCCTTCCCCTCCTTCAAGACCAGGACCACCATGGAGTCCTCCCTCACAGCGACAACAAACCAAACCAGATTCTGCTGAAACTGCTGAGTCATCATCTGAACCAGCAACAAACATCAGCTCAGACGTGCCTTCAGGATTTCTACAGATTCTGAGTTTGTGGCTAAAAATAATCCTACTGAGCTGCAAATCCAGAGACCTGAGACAGACCTACTGAGACACTGTCCTGTTTTAAAGAGACAGACCTACTGAGACACTGTCCTGTTTTAAAGAGACAGACCTACTGAGACACTGTCCTGTTTTAAAGAGACAGACCTACCCAGGCACTGTCCCGTGGGGGTGAAGCGGTATCCAGCCTTACACTCGCAGCGGTAACTTCCTGGCACGTTCAGACAGGCTGCGTTCTGCTGACACACAGGTCCGTTCTGACACTCGTCGATGTCTGGCATCGGGGACAGAATGAGACGTCAGACTTTGGTCCTGGTTCTTAAGCACAGCGGCGTGTCTTCCTTCAGGTCCTACCTTCACAGATCAGGAGCTTGTCGTTGTAAATGAAGCCCATGGGACACTCGCACCTGAAGCTGCCGATCATGTTGATGCACACGCCGTTCTCACACACTCCTGGGATTTCTCTGCACTCGTCGATGTCTGAGGACGACAACAGTGAGAGAAAAGCTGCTTCCTGTCAGGACTACAGGTGGACCATGAAGCCGTACCAATTACTCTCCCCGTGGTGATGTCGATGTAATATCCTGGTCTCTCGCTGCCACACAGGACTGCAAACCCCTCTGCAGAGGTGAAGAGGACAGCAGGTTAAGTTGAGTCCCGTTGAACAGACCGCAGACACTGAGTGGAGTCTCACCGGTGCTGGGCAGAGGACACTGCTCGCAGGGTTTGTTCCAGGCCCGGCCGATGTTGTAGGAGCAGCAGCACATCTTCTGGGTCATGTTGAAGGTCAGCTCTCCGTCACAGGTCCTGTTGTCTGAGTAAAAGTTCCTGTAGCAGTAGCTCTTCCTCATGTCTGTGGGTTTTCATCAGATCAGAGAATCAGATGGAGCAGCAGCAGCAGTTACATTAGCAACATTAGCATTAGCTGTAGCATAAGCGGCAGTAGCAGTTGCATTAGCAGCAGCAGCATTAGTAGCAGTAGCATTAGCAATATTAGCGTTAGCAGTAGCATTAGCAGCAGCAGCAATAGCATTAGCATCAGTAGCAATAGCAGTAGCATTAGCATTAGCAGCAGCAGCATTAGTAGCAGTAGCATTAGCATCATTAGCAGTAGGAGCATTAGCATCATTAGCAGCAGTAGCATTAGCAGCAGCAGTATCATTGGCAGCATTAGCATTAGCATCAGTATCATTAGCAGCAGCAGCAATAGCATTAGCATCAGTAGCAATAGCAGTAGCATTAGCATTAGCAGCAGCAGCATTAGTAGCAGTAGCATTAGCATCATTAGCAGTAGGAGCATTAGCATCATTAGCAGCAGTAGCATTAGCAGCAGCAGTATCATTGGCAGCATTAGCATTAGCATCAGTATCATTAGCAGCAGTAGTATTAGCATCAGCATCATTAGCATCAGCAGCAGTAGCATTAGCATCATTAGTAGCAGTAACATTAGCAGCAGCATCATTAGCATCAGCAGCAGTAGCATTAGCATCAGCAGTAGCGTTAGCATTAGCAGTAGCATTAGCAGCAGTAGCATCAGCAGTAGCATTAGCAGCAGCATTAGCATCATTAGCGTCAGCAGTAGCATTAGCAGCAGTAGCATTAGCAGCAGTAGCATTAGCAGTAGCATTAGCATTAGCAGCAGCTCTGCAGCTAGAGGACAGTGGACTGACCCATGCAGTTGTGTCCTCCGTTGACCTGCATGTAGTCCACGGGGCAGATGCAGGTGTAGTTCCCGATGGTGTTGTAGCACTGACCCGGTCCACAGATTCCTGTCTGATCACACTCGTTGATATCTACACACACACACACACACACACACACACACACACACACACACACACACACACAGTGACACAAATATTCGTCTGTCCTCCATGAGGGCAGAGAATCAGTCAGTAAAAGTCATGTCAGGACATGTTGGCCTCCAGCTGGGTCCAGATGTTCGAGGAGCTGACCCACATTCTCTGATCAGCTCTGAGGGTCTTTATTTGAACTTTTCACCATCAGTGGAAATGTCCTGAACAGGATTTAGTTCTGTTAAATGATTCAAAGTTCAGATTAATAATCCTGTGAACTCTGTCACATGTTGGCTCCTCAGAGAGACTGTGCAGAAAAACAAAGCCTCTGTGTTTCAGGCAGAGGGGCGGAGCTTCAGTCCTGATGTTTGTCTAAACTCTCCTATTTATCCTGCTCCCACCAACTTTCATTCCTCTCATTCTGACTCTGGTGGTCTCTGGTGGTCTCTGGCCCGTCTCCTGCAGACGGGTCAGGCTGCAGCACATCAGAGCCGCCCTCCTCTGGGCAAACAGCAGGAACTTGGATTTCCTGAGTTAGACAGGAAGTAGCAGAGACGTTTGTTTCTCTCTGTGCTCTCGGGGTGTTTTCTTTCCTCTCGATGTGTCGCTGAACATATTTACATCTATGACTTATCAAGTTTTTATATATCTATGACTTATCTAGTCTTTATACATCTACGACTTATCTAGTCTTTATATATCTACGACTTATCTGGTCTTTATATATCTATGACTTATCTAGTCTTTATATATCTACGACTTATCTAGTCTTTATATATCTATGACTTATCTAGTNATATATCTATGACTTATCTAGTTTTTATATATCTATGACTTATCTAGTCTTTATATATCTACGACTTATCTAGTCTTTATATACATATCTTTGACTTATCTAGTCTTTATATACATATCTTTGACTTATCTAGTCTTTATATATCTATGACTTATCTAGTCTTTATATCTATGACTTATCTAGCCTTTGTATATATATATATCTATGACTTATCTAGCCTTTTATATATCTATGACTTATATAGCATTTATATATCTATGACTTATCTAGCCTTTTATATATTTATGACTTATCTAGTCTTTATATATATCTATGACTTATCTAGCCATTATATATATCTATGACTTATCTAGCCTTTTTATATATATCTATGACTTATCTAGCCTTTTTATATATATATCTATGACTTATCTAGCCTTTTACAGTGGTTTGCAAAAGTATTCATACCCCTTGAACTTTTCCATATTTTG